GATTATAAATTGCTCCTCTTTTAAGTGAAAAAGTAATAAATGTGATATAAATGAAAATAATAAGTATGAAATATAATTTTTAACTAATATGAAGAATTTTATGATTTTTTTTATTTAAAAACCCAGATATTATTCATAAAATGCTTTCAGTAGAAAAGTATAATTTTAAAAAATAAAATGTGATCTTGTAACTTGACGTGATTTTTGTGATCTCATATGATTAAGTTATTAGTTATTTACAAATATAATAATATAATATTGTTTATGTGTTTCGTTAACAATTATCTTAAAAATTAGATGCGAAAAATCAAATTGTTAAATTGCTGGTCGATTTAACTCGTGATATTACTGCGATAGTTTAGTAGAGTTAGCGTTTCAAGACCGAAAAATCATTTCGACGCTTTTATTTTAAAGAACTACATACATAGTATATAAATTCACACAGAATCATACAAGCACTCAAGATCCAGCGAGACCGTTTAAAGCATTGATTTTTATAGGTTGTGTTTCTCACATATACGGTCCTGTAAAATATAACATTAACTCAAAGATATAACATTATCATTATGTTTATCTATTAAAATTTAATTACATAATATTGAATTTTTTTAATATCCCTCTTAAAAGTTGTTCACTTTACTATACTATATGTGTATATAAAGTTAAATGCTAGGGTAAGACTAAAAATTAATAGTTGATTTAACATACACACGTATATTTCAAATATTATTAGGATACATTAATATATATATATATATATATATCTATCAGGGTTAAAACATCATCAGAATATTGATACAGTATCACGAATCATAAACTAAAAATGAAATAAACTTTTTCTGCAGGATTCACTATTCAGAATAAGTATGTATGTATACTATTGTGAATATATTATTATAATTGACACACTGCTATATACTAGACATACAATTTTTTACTGTTGAGTTTATTCCGGACATGTCACAAAATGGAGTATTGTGTATGCGTGGTGTATACATGTATGCATTTATAAACATCGCACATTTTCTCTCAATTATCAGTAACTTTATTGCCAATTATTAATTATTTTCAACAATTTTATAGTTACAAGACTAAATTAAGATTGGAATTTCCAGATACATTTAATTTTAAAAAGAAATTTTAATGTTAGGACTTTGCTAGATGAGATGACTTTGCTAATTTGAGAAAACTTGAAATATTTTAGATTGTTATGTTCAGAGAGAAAATATGCGATGGAATATTTTATATGTATATACATATATATGTATAGTTTAGTTTAACAAATGTAAGAATAGATCGCTCATGTCTAAAGTTAATTCTTACAAATGGAAGGACACTGATATATATAAAACAAAGAATGATTATGGACCTATTAGAGGTAAACATCGTATGGAAAATTTGCTTATGAAAATATGAAACTCCTATATGTAAAAACTGCAATTCCTAGGAAATACTTTTTAATAACAAGTACACTGAAGAGATTTACTAAGCTAGTGAGATATTACTATCTTATGATATAAATGGATAAAAGTGGTATCGCAGAAGTTCACATAAAACTAATTGTTTTTAAAGCTACCATTATATTTTCAAACACATTTAAATTCTAGTCTGTATTTATCGTAGATTGAGGACCAGATATGGCTATATGATTCTCAGCTGTGAGTATTAATGGTATTATCTTGTGCACAAATGAAAACTTTGAATCAGATGGCCATATCTTGTTCTGAACAAGACACCAGATAGAAATATAGATAAAATATTCTTTATATGTATTTTATCTTCTATATTCAAGCCAATAAATTCCTCCCCACAATTATTATCTCAAATGTTTTCTACAAGCACTTACTCAATTACTTACAAATTTTTTACTGGTGTTACAAGGATGGGATTCAAAAGGGTATATTTTTTCTTCAATTTTATGAAGTTGATTGTATAAATAATGTATATACTGCACATGTACACGTACAAAAATGTCAGATACTCGCATATTTTATACATGTATAAACTATGTGAATGTCTTATATTTTTGTGTCCTTTCTTATAAATTCTTATTACAAATATTTTCAAAAAATATCGTGACAATTGATTAAAAAAATAATACACAGTAATAAAAATGATACTACAACACAAAAAATGTCTTACAATACATATTTTGTTGAATCTGTGAAATATGAGAGTCTGCAAGAACAAAGTTATTAAAATGTTTTCTATATGGTTCCGTTCGGGAAGAATGCTATCAACGTCATTCTATCTTTACCGTTTATTACATAAAATCAGAATAGAATGACTCTGCAAGCATACTCCGAACACAGCATATGTATTATATGTAAAAATTGAGCGAGATATCAATTCTATACAGGTAAATATAATTGAGCACAGAGCATATATATATATTTTCTATAATTCAATTTAAATAAATGTTGTTTAAGTCTCATTAACTTGTATATGGCTACGTTTACACCGTGCGCTTAGTCCGCGATTATAACGATAGGTGTCTTTGTTTAACCTACAGGCTAAACAAGGACATCTATTGTATAGGCCGCGGCCTAAATGCACGGTGTAAACGTAGCCTACGATATAACATCGTACATATTGTAAAATATAAATAGAAATATACATGTATTAAATGAAGCATATTTAATTTGATCGGTTTGTAAGGAAACTGTTACGAATCTTCACTAAAGATACATTTCAAAAAAACACATCTCATACTTTCTAATATCATTCTAAAAATAAGGGATACATCTATATGTTCAATTTGAAAAATATCTAATATATTAGCATTACCTAAAAGGAATATGGCTGAGCTTAAATACAATAAAGTGATAAAATATATATAATATGTAATATAGAATATCGCTTTCTCTATAATGTTACAAGATATTACTTTTATTACATTCAACTTCCGTTAAATACGGAATTGTTTACAACAAAATCAAGATATATGTCAATGATAAAACAAAGAAAACGAGAAAGTCGATATTAAATAAAAAATAAAATGTTAATTACGTGTTATATTTTACAATAAAATATATACCTAATTTTATATATATATATATATAAAATTAAAAACAATTTACTTATCTATTACAAAAACAAGATTTCAAAATAAGACGCAATTACGTTTTAATAACATTTATGATGTAATCTTTATTATTTACTGGATGCATTATGTAAAAGTTGGAAAAGTATATTACTAACGTGAATAAACTTAAAGTTTAATTTTTTAATCAGAATATTTTGTTAATGCCATAAATACATAATATATTTTTTGTGGTATTAAAGTAAATTATAAAAATTGAAGAAATTCAATGTATCAAATACATGTTTATATATGACATATTTTGAATAAATTTATGAAGACTTTTTTCCACGCATACCATATTATAATAAAAATTTGTATTATAATTATGATCGTTGTTATAAACGGACAATATTTTTACTGTAGCATCAATCTGGTATTAATTTATAAGTTAAAAACAATTATGTAACCATATAATATCTCTATAATTTTGGTGTGTTGTTTTGTTTGTGTGTGTATACCATATAATATTTTTAATCTGGTCGGTTGCTGCCGTATAAGTACATATATTTTAAGCTTTAACTCTATAATGTTAAAATTTGTAGGAAATACTCTCGTAAGCTATTTTTCACATCTTGTCTTGTATTCATGCCCATTTTTATGTTTTGTTAAATTCGTAAAAATTCGTGTCTTTTCTTAAGGAGTAATATTGCTCCAATACTGTGTAACGATATTCTGATTAAGTTAGGGCTAATTGAACATACAAAAGGCTTAAGTGATAGAGAAGAGCTGATGTGCTCGAAATACTAATATATTCTTGGTAGGAATTCTCTCCCATTTTTAGAAATTTTACTATTGAAAAATTTACATGTTAGTAAATCTCGCTAGGAAACATTTGGCGTGTCTACTTGATATTTCATTTTTGAAGAATTTGCATATTAATATACCAAATAAAATGGCGTCCATCGCCTCTAAGCAATTCTAGGTAGTCAAGTTTCTATTAATTATTTCGTACACATAACAATTTTATATTAAGGTATTTAAAAAAAATAATTTTTATAAAAACAGAAAATTTGTATAATTCAAATAAGAAAAGCAGCAGTTTTGTGATATGTATAACGATATATTAGAGAAAGAAAAGAATAATATACTTAAAGACAAGTTAATTAAATAATTTTTATAGTTAAAAAGTGTTTCTCAGAAAAAAACTATATTTTAGAAAAAGAAAAAAATTGCTTGATATTCTTCTTTAACTAGTACTATAAACTTCTATAAAACACATTTTTATCTATTTATTTAAAACAAAAGGGTTTCCTTAACTTGTTTTAAGTATTTTTCTCTCTTCCTCTAGGTTATTTCTATTATTAAACTGATTAGAGCTACATTCTGGCAAGAAACAGTGAAGTGTATAAAAAAATGCAATCATTAAAACAAGCTCATTTTTTAAATTATATACATATTTATTATATACATATTTATTTCATCTAGAAAGAATTACATATCACAAAACTACTGACATAAATGAATTATCTTTCATAAAACAATTCAAGAGTGATATATTTCACAAATTTCTTTCTTTCTTCCGTAACTATAATATCTACATCTTATAAAACAAATATTTTAATGTGGTAGACATTAAAACATTTTAATGTGAAATTATGTATAAAGCATAATTTCTTTTTTAACACCTATTTACTGATATTCAAACAAACAATTAAAATTATTCAATTCATAAAATATTCACAGCATGCAACAACTACTATATTGGTAACTTGTATAGAAAATTATTATAATAAAAAAACTCATTCTTTCAATCGTAATCACTTATATGGCTCTTTATATTAAATCATATATAACTTAAATAAATCAAAAGAGCAAAGAGAAAAAGTATGTCATATCTAAACGTAACAGATTAAAACTTATTTATACATCTTTTTAGACATTAAGATTGTTTATTATAAATATGCTTTACCTCATTTTTCGAAATTTTCTCATAAAGAGGTTTTGAAATTGCGTGAAAAGAACGATACAAAAGAATGTCAGGATTCATAAATCAATCGCTGATAATGAGGAAATATTTCCCATGTTGGCAAATGCAAACCAAATTCTAAAGCTACCAACACAGCAAACTCAGACGTAATTAAGTCCTTGCGATTTAATCGGAATACACCCTCAATTCTCTGTAAATAATAGTAATAATAATTATTGTATAAAACCTTTATTATTACATAACACAAGATAAAGATACCTCGATGAGGGATTTAAGAATATCACCCTTCACGTCATTCAATTTTGCTGCGAGGAGTAAACAAGCGCCAGCACATAACTTCCGTGTCTGTTTTGTCACAATATTTCGAAGAATAAGCTTTTCAAAATATACATAGGCCATTGCGACAGTGAGTAAATCAATTCCATATTCTAATTTAGCTATTTTTCTCATTTCTCGTTTTAAACTGAAAGAAGAACTTGTAAAAATAATAGCACTAAAAGTGAGAATATACATTATACATATATTGCTATATAGACGTACCTACGAAGTTTACTGAGAGTGAGTTGAATATGTGGAAACTTTTCTTTAAATTTATCATTTAATTCTTTCTTCAAATCGGAAGGCCTTACATAATCAATAACAGATGCCTATGTGATTGTAAAATATTAAGTTGTATTAATCAAAACTCTTAAGTCATTAATTAAAACAATTAGAATTAAGTAGGTATAGGTACCTAGAAGTTTAAAAAATCGAATTTTTTTTACGAATATTTTTAAAGTTTGATATCTTAAGAATGTTTTATCTTAAGATTGTAAAGTTATAAATTCAGCGAAAAATATCAATAAAATTTTTGATAAAAAAATCGATAATTAACTTAATGACTAGCTGCCATTTTGATCAAACATAATATTTCGAAAAACGACTACACATCAATTAGTAGACTACACATCAAGTAGATTTATACTTCAACTTTATAAAACTTGTGTCGTTTTGTTTTCAGATGAATTTTGTAGAAGTGACACCGCAAATTGTGATTATTAAAATAAGTTTTACAAAAATAATATTAATAATATCTCGCCATTTTTAATTATTTTTTAATAAAGTTTAAATGACAAAGATAGAAAAATACATTCTTTATAATGAAACAAACTTTTCTTTTTCCGTTTTTCCACAAAAATTCAGAAAATTAAACTTCATTTTGATGCGTCTAGGTACCTATGCCCCACCATATATACCATATATGATGTAAATGTCAGCAATGTTCTATGTTTCCCAGCAATAAGTTCTGGATCATCCAATAAGTTTGGATTATACTGGGCAGATTGTTCATCCCAATCATGAACTGTAACAATATACAGTAAAATATAATTACATATAATATTAATATTGTACATTAATTTGATAACAAATTTAGATTACATTTTTTAAAACTACCTTTGGAATCAACGCTGAAAGACAATGGTGGAGACTCAGAAGTTATGTAATGAGCACGGTTTGTAGCTGTATCATAGGAAAGACACCTAAAATTAAAAAAAGGAAATGTTATAAAATGTATATTATTTTATTTTGTAGCATGCAATATGCAATGTGCTCCAGAATTGTTGTATTCATTAATGATTATTACAATTTAAAAAAAGAGTATTAAGAATTCTTTAAAAAATGTAGATATATTCTTAATTTTTGAATCCTAAGTAAAAAAATATTGTAACACAAATTGTTACATTTAATTTTGATAGTTAATAAATTATAAATTACGTATAGAATTTAAAAATTATGACAATAATGGGCTCTTGATCAATTCTCATTAACGAAAAATGGATTTTAAAATCATGAAAAATATTTAATATCTTAAAAATTGTACGAGAGACTTCTGGAATACTATTTATACGTATAAAAGGTATAATGAATACATATAAACGCATGCTACATATATGTATATAATTTTAAAGTACTTAAAACAGCAAGTATTTTTTCTTTATATATATTATCATAAAAACATGGTGTGAAATTATTCTGCGATGTGTAACATTTATTAAACATTTTAGTGAATTATATTTAAAAAATGTATGCGTGTAATTTTTATATAATATATACATATATATATGGTATATATACATATATGTATAAGGATGATCAATGATAATAAAATATATTTTGAACATAACTTTATTATTATAAATTTTAGTATAATAAGTTTTAAAGGGAATATTTGAAAATTTTATATTCTAAACAAAACTATATTTTCTATCAAAAATATTGTTATGGAAGGAATAAATATTTAGTTTATACCTCTCATTTATAAAATACGATATCGTTATCATATATCTATTATAAAATGATTATGAATTGTCTAATGAGTGATTTTTACAACACATCTTTTGCAGAATTATAATAAAATTTTAAGAAACATACTTGTTGTAGACCCTTGTATCTGTATGTCTTACATTAAATCTATCTAACATATAAATTTCTATAGTTCATTACACATATATTGTACAATAATTTTTACCATTTTTTGTGATCCACATTCCAAGTAATTGTTTTTGTCCTGCAAAAAGATGGTTGATGTTTTGTTATAAAAACGAATATATGATATGTGAATCCATGTACGCATTACCTATGATATCGAAAGAGACAAAAAAGATGCCTGGGTAATACTGCAGCTATGAAAGGCAAATTATGAATTACAAATGATTGATAAAATAAAAAATTCTTTGATAAATAGTTTATTTTTTCTTAGTGTTCGTTTCACTATTGATAAGTATTTGAAAGAAAAGAATCATACTTGTTAATTTTAATGCAGTAGAAGCTAGACATCTCATATATTGAAGAAAATTAAGAGGTCTGACGATTTTTTTTAACTCTTATCTAAATCTTAACTAAACTTGATGTATAAAATACAGAAATAAAATCATGAAAAAATAAGGATACACATATATCGTTTGTGTGCATATGTATATGTGCATATTTGTGTATATATACACTACACTGAACTGTGATGTCAAATTAAACATAAAGAAGAAATAAGGTATTCTAATAAACTTATATGTTGCTATACCTTTGTACCACATGATGTTTATTAGGTACAAAATGTGTAAATTCCATAGGTTCGTTTTCATTTAGATTCATCATTTTTTTATCCCTTTGAAATTGCCGAGATGGTACAAGTAATTGCCCATAAGATATTTCCTGAAAAATTAATTAATAATTGAGGATTATCATGTGTTTAAAAATCAGAATCGAAGGAATAAAATAATGTTTTTGGTACTTGGCCATCCTTAGCGTGTTCTATACCCAACAATCTAAATGGATCAATACTGTCATTAATTGCTGATAAAGGTCTTTGAGATGACACATTTTTTCTTCGACATGTATCTTTACGTAACTCTGACCTGTAAAAAAAAAACAATCATACAAAATTTTATTGAAGTACAAAGTATCAGTTTTTTATTAGTACATTTAATAAAAAATAGTATCGAATAAATTATATAAGATAGAGAAAATAAATCTTAGAAAAGACAATTTATATACGAGTTAAATATTTATACAAGCCTTACCAGCTGGAACGTTGTCCTTTATTGTATGGGATAGCAGAAAATATTACAAATGGCACATGTTGATTCGATACCAAAACCATTCTATCATCTCCAAATTTACAGCCATTCACAGGCCGTTGCATCAAACGCAACTCCTTTGTAATCTCTGGTATTATGCTACTATTTGTAGAAACAGGTTGCACATTGTTCACTGCCTTTGTCTTTGGTTTTGACGATTGTGCTTTTGAATGTACGGAACCAATACTTTCGTTGCTACTATTGTATTGATGCTTAATATCTTCCGAAAGCGTAGATGTTTGATGACTTATGCGCTTCTTATAATGTAGAGAGCCCACACGTCTTTCTGGTAAGGAATAGTCGCTTCCGGTAGTTCCCGTTCTAAGAATTTTCCATTAAATAAAACATTAAAATATGAGTAAATATGTATTATTATTCACAAAGATGAATTTGTATGATACTATTCTTTCTTTTTTCTGACTAAATTTAAAAAGCCCATTTGTTATTAACAGAAATTAATTTAGTGATATTTTCACAAAGTTCCTGACCTTATATTCTGTGACTCTTAACGACACAGTGTCGATTTCGTTAAATTGTTGTTACGCAGCTTTTTTTCCCATGTATAAAACCTGCGCAATGATAATGTAACGATATCGTTATTGTCATTAAGAGAATAGGGGTCTTAAATAAAATATTTTTACAATTAATTCATAAACAAACATTTTACGAAATGAGATTTAATTTAAAATAGTAAAAGATAAGATCGCATCTTGTTTCACTAAAAATTAATTAAGAAATATTAATATTGAATGAACAATTTAATTTTTTATTGTACAAATTTATCCGTTTATTTAAGAAAACCTATTTCCAAATCTATTAAAAAAGATCACAGCTAAATAAAAAAAAATCATAACTGCACACAGTATGTACGAATTATACACCAGATATGCAAGTAATGTATGGATGGAATGTAATCAAGTTTCACGATGTTTTTGTTTGTGATACTGTAGACGCTTTTGATAATGTTATCTGAATCCATTAAGTGTCATTCAATCTTATCTGTACCAAGACAGTCTGAAATGGAATATTATAGCGCAGAAATTTTCATACGTATTTAATTATCAAAACATTCTTTCTTATCAAAAGGATGTTTTGATGCGTGTAATTTAGAATATTTTAAACATAAGATATAGCAGTTTGTCTGCTACTTGTAGTTATCTAATAAATTATCTTACTACAGAATATACATCATATCTTAATTTAAAGCCTATACTAAAATTTGCACAATTAACCAATATAAATTTTCTAAAATATATATATATGGTTGTTTACTTTATAATGTTCAAGCAATTCTATTATCATAGACTATCACGACCTATTTCTGCAACAAAGGCTTAAAAGATAAGATAAAAAATGTATTGTTAATGTACTTATGATAAGCAATATCTTCTTTAGAGGAACAATAATTCTAAAGAAATTAATTTTCACATGTTATTTACGATAAACAGCTTATGTAGAATAAACTTAATATAATTACATGTTTGACTTTGCGTTTTTCATTTGGTCGTTTACTTCGGAGCAAACTGTTACCTTTCTTTGCATAGTGAAAGAATACAAGCACATAACGGCAATAGCTAGCAAATCAAATTTTGTTCCATTTTGCATTCTTAGGACAAATTCTGATTGGCTATCTAACCAAATTGGCTACTATCAAGTTGTTTCACCTATCAGACCCGTTTTCTTCCACCAGTTTCTTTGTATTACTGCTGACAAATTGTATTGCTTTTAATATTTTGGCATACTGCTAATAGCTGTTTTCGTATATAGTCTATTTGTTTTGGTTGTATTGACCTTCTTCTTATTTCTCTAGGGGCAGGAGCTATTAATTTGATTACAATAACTACTACTACTACTGATAAAAAGGCTAGGCATTAGGTATTATATATTACATAAATACAGATATAATAAACCTTAAGAAATTCATCAATTACAATCGCATATGAAAAGAATAATAGACTATGATTGGTCAATTTATTAAAGCTTAAGGTTTACTATATCTAGGCTCGGTTATTCTACCTTTCGATAAACTTCAGCTCATTGTCTTTACTCTGTTAATTCCTCATACTCTTACTCTTTTGTTTTGATTATCCAGTAAGTAAATTAGCACAAAGTTTAATTAAAAAGAGAACCACTGGCCCCTATTATATTCACAGACTTGACTTAAGCGACCCAGGCTGACAAGTAAATATTTACCGTTCTCTAAACGAACTGTGCATGCCACAAGAAAACTGTAAATGATTTCTCTCCTGCTCCAAGAACATGGTAACTGCTGCCTTGGCAGGAGTGAGTAGTCCATCCGAATCAGAACTGAAGGAGTTGTGATCGGTGCTCTTGTGCACCGGCTGCGGAGAGTTGTTCTCTATCGTCTCATTCTGCGACAAGTCGTGCGTCTCCTCTGGGGGACAGACGTCTAGCACCTCCTCCATGGAGAGCTCAAAGTCGGCGTTCCGGCATACCTCCAGCACCGCCTGCCGTTCAGACTGGCCATCGCTAAACCTGCGCGCGTGACTCGGCCCGCTGCGTGACAGGACGGCGAACTTGGTGTCCCGGTGACTGCCGTCGAGGGAGATGTTGGACAGGAAAGTGAGGGCGGCCAATCGTCTACGTGAGTGATTTTTCTTTAGGGCCGCTGCCATTCCACGACGGACCGTATCGGGATACCGGTGCCAAATAACGACAACGCGCGCCCGATGACAACGGCGGCGGCGGTGGTGGCAACGACGACGACGGCCTCGACTTTTTCGTGCAACGACAACTAAGATCACAATGCATTGTCACTGCTGATACACTTAGTTCTAAGTACGCTAGACACAATCACGGCCGTGCGCCACGCGTACAAAGGTAAACCGGTACCGCTCATCATCATGCCGTTTCCTCGGACGGGAGCCCTTCACGAACACGCGCTACCTTCCGCACACAACCGTATGACTTTACCTACTACGCAACAATCGCGCCTCCTCTCCCATCAGCGTCGCTGAAATCCACTGAAATCCTAGAACGTGGGATTGCGCAGTAGCGCTTAGCACAAATACTCACCGAAATATGTGGTACCGTTAGGCCCAGGGAAAACACGACGATTTTTCTTTATTTAATAAATAGTAAAGTATGAAAATTATATACGTATTTTTACACAGATGGCAGTAAATAAGATCTACAAATTTTCTGCGGCCAGTATTTTTATATGAATATTGATTTTAAAAATCAAAGTCGACATTGTTTTAATAGGACAAAGTTTGTACAAACACTCGCGACGTGTCGCGTGTAACTTAAATATTGTAAGTATTACGAAACGTAACTTAAATCTTTACAGACGTGTCGATAAGCTTCATTAAAAGTTTTACTTTAGACTTCGTTAGAAGTTTTACGTATACAATTAATTTTAGAAAATAATATACCGCAAGGAAGCAGAAGGATATTTATTCAAATAAAATGATTTTAATAACTGTGTGAGCATAGAATAACAAGTGATATAAATAAACATGTTCTATAAATAAACATGTGGAAATTTTCTGCAGGCACCTGCGTTTAATTACGAGGCTGTCTGCCAGTCACATGGTCGTCCACGCGCGTAATCGCATGCGCGCCTAGTTGACAGAAGGAGAAACATACGTGCCAACACACAGAAATTGCACGTTTTGTCCGAATTAAAACCGGACAGTTGGCAACTCTACTCGAAGTAAGGTCTGTTCGCATGGCTTGAAATTCTCAAAAATTTTGGCACACCTAAGGTTGGTTTATAATAGACCGTAATCTGTTAACTTTTTCCGTAATCCGTAAGAATTAACCAATCGTAATCGATTATTTTCCTCTCATTCAACTGTGATTTGTCAATTTTTGCGGAGTACGGAAAAAGTTAACAGATTACGGCCTATTATAAACCAACCCTTATGGTTCCTGCACACTGGACGCGG